CTGCCATAACTCCCCCGTACCACCCCCCATCACCGGAAGTTTCTCAGTAGATTTGGGCTGTACTCAGCAAGCGCAGTACAGCCCGAAAGTCAGATTAAAAGAAAAATCAGTGGATGGCAATCAGTGGACTGGTTGGCAGACCGCCGACCGGTCGGCCCTACCGGTAGGCTGCAAAACGGTCGGAGGGTATGCAATCCTGATGATAAAAAAAAAAAAAAAAAAAACAGCCACAAATTTGCGTGCCGCACCTGTAAGTTGTGATGTTTACGTCACGCCCTTGTGATACCAGTTGAAATTTGCAGAACATCAGTCAGATTGTCTGGGCCTGAAATCTTTCCCCTCTGCGCCTGTTACTGGCAGTTGAATGTTGTTAGATGCCTGCGCAAATCTGGCCATTTGGTACCATTGTCTGAGCGCTTGAGGTCCAGGGGCACGGCGCAAATTCGTCTGTCAGGGGCCTGCCGCAGCTCGGCATTGGAAGGGCAATCTGCAAATATCAGACACTACAGGGGCAGCACACATATCACAGTGGCAAATCGCAGACTTTCCCTTGCAACCATGCATTTCCGGACATGCATTGTATTATGGTAATCATAAGTGCAATAATAAATTAATAATTGTAATTTCAAATTTGCAATTACGGAATACATATTATAGGCAGCAGAAATACTTATTTCAACAGGGGTAAGTATTTACGATCGTAGTTGTATGCAAATCAAGAGACGTTCTATGGCCGAAGAAGGTGGGCCCTGAATATTTCGGACGACGTGGGTAACCTACAGAGATAAGAGTTTGGTCTCCCTCCATGTTTGCGACTCTCTTATTAATTTCTTGTAGGCACGGGGCCAACAAAATTCTTCCAGGTGCGCTGAACCTTGTTCGAATGCGATTGGTAGGAACTTAGGAAGTGCTAGCAGTCGGCGGGGAGATGGATTCTGGAAGAATTGTGGGCCCCGGCCACTGGGGTGGTAGACCTGTACTGGTCATGTCCACGATCTTTATACAAGGGCAGGCTTGTGTGTTTTGTGTTTGATATTGTAAAGGTTGTGTTTTTCTGTGCAGGATGTGAGGCGGTTGTAGGGGGCGGGGGCTACCGTCTTCACCCGAATAGAACACCCGGTCATTATTGCTCTATTTGATGGAACTTTCAGTCTAGATAAAGTGATAATGACCAGGCGTTCTATTCGGGTGAAGACGGTAGGGCTTGTGGGGGCACTGGGGTGGCAATGGCAGTATGATGGGGGGAGGGGAACGGCTGTTGAAACTTGAGTTACGTTGTGAATGGTTGTGGTCAAGGAGGGGCCTTAGCACATGATTGTTGTTGTAGTTGTGTGGGGAGGGGGTGCAATAAACGTGGGGTTGAGAAGATTTGGCTTTCTCGAGGGGTGGGTCTTGGGTTTAGGGCGGGAGCGCAATAAACCTATATGAGAAGATTTGGTTTTGTCGAGGGGTGGGTCTTGGGCTTAGGGGGGAGGCTGATGAGGAGTGGTTGTGCAGAGTATGTGGGAGGGGACACACTTAACGTGGTGGAGAAGATTTGGTTTCTTGGCAGGTGGGTCTTGGGTTTAGGGCAAGGCTGACGTGGAGTGATTGTGGAAAGGACACTGTGCCTGAGGAATGGGGGTAGAGATGGACTTCAAGTTGTTCTGTCTGGTGTGTGGTTGTTGGGAGAGAGAGAGAGAGTTGTGGGGCAGGGGAAAGAAGAGAAGACAGGAAATGAAAAAGGGAAAGGAAGAGGGTGTGAGAGAGCACATGTACATTGGCTGCGATCGGCCCTCATCTGATTTTTTTTCTTTTTCCGTTTAATTTGATGTATCTCGGTTTTCTTCTCTTCACTCAAGTCCAAGTCAATGCTTTCTATGCTATTGTGGGAAACTGTCCTCTTGTCTACTCCTAACCATGGGTTTCCTCTTATCACCAGAGTTTGTTTGAAGAACAACAAGCCTCGCTGAAGAAGAAGAAGCCGACCTCCACGATCAACTCCTCAGATTGCATCACACCTCTGAAACTGATCATCATGAGTGCGACATTGCGTGTCGAGGACTTTGTTGAGAATGCACAGCTTTTCCGGAACCCTCCTCCAGTTGTCAAAGTGCCAGCCAGGCAGTTTCCGGTGACAGTTCACTTCAGCAAGCGGACGGAGCTCGTGGATTATGTTGGCGCTGCCTATAAAAAAGTCTGTCAAATCCACCGTCGGCTGCCACCTGGCGGGGTATTGGTATTCCTAACTGGGCAAAGGGAGGTTGAGTGGCTTTGCAGAAAGCTTCGGAAATCGTTCAACAAGGGAGGAAAGCTGCTGTCAAGATCTGGTGAAAACGACGAATTCAAAGCCAAGAGCGACGAAGCAGATAAAGGTGATGTCAGTGGTTCTGCCAGTGAACTGAAGGATGAGGCAAAAGAGGACGAAGAGATCTGGAAGGCTGCGGATGGAGACGATCAACGAGTTGGGAATGAGGAAAACATGCATGGACCAAGGAGAAGGGGTGGTTGGCATGCATATGGACAAGACAGCGTCGAGGTTGAAGATATAGAAAACAACAATGAAGATAGCGAAGAGGAGGAGGAGGAGGGGGGGGAGGAGGAAGAGGACGAGGACGAGCAGGTGGAGAACAGCGAAGGTGAGGAGTGGAATGATTCGCGAGAAGGAAGATGGTGGAAAACTCTGCAAGAGAAGGCTGAGAATGGAGATGGAGAACATGGGAAGGACAAGGTTCAAGGTAATGATGATGAGGAAGGTAACAAGGAGAAAAGTGACATGAGAATAGCTGATGATCGGGTCACTCCGGAGGAACCTCAAACACAGGAGCTGGAGGGTGGTATTACATCCCTTGGTTCTGACATTATGGACAAGAAAGAGAGAGGGAAGGGAGGGGCTCCTCCGAAGAAGATGCATGTCTTGCCTCTCTATGCCATGCTGCCGGCCAAAGTGCAGCTGAGGGTGTTTGCCCCTCCTCCAGAAGGCTCACGGCTTGTCGTTGTTGCAACCAATGTTGCGGAGACCTCTATTACCATTCCTGGAATCCGATATGTTGTGGACTGTGGACGTGCAAAAGAACGCGAATATGACCGAGCAAGTGGTGTATCAAGCTTTGAGGTGAGTCAGGACATCACAATTTTTTATTCTCTATGGCGTAACGAAACGGTTGTGGTAGGCAAGTGTTGAAGCGCATCTATGAGTGCTGGTATGGATATTAAATGAGATAGAGAGATGGGGTTGCTGGGAGTGGGGTGGGGGAGAGAGAGAGAGAGAGAGAGAGAGAGAGAGAGAGAGAGAGAGAGAGAGAGAGAGAGAGAGAGAGAGAGAGAGCACCGTATTGGCAAACAGAGGTCTCTGAAGCCTTCTCTCAACCCTGTTCTTAGCCTCTGTAATCACAGCCAGCCTGCAGTTTCAGGTCCTTCTCATCTCTTCCTGTCTACCCCCTTCGACATTGATCTTTAGCCTAGCATCTTCCCTGTCGTCTCCAATAACAAGGTTCTAACTCTGCGGTTCAGTCTTTTAAAGCCTTAGTCAGTGGTGTACTAGATGAGGCTACTCAGCCGCTACTGTCTTAACCGAAAAAAAACGTACGTACGTTGTGTATGAAATTATGAATACAATGCACGGGGTACGTTGTACTCGAATGTAACGTACGTACGTTATACAGTTAGTTTTAGGGTACAACTTTGCAGGAGCCTGTTGTACCGACGTCATTTTTTTTTCTTCTTGAATTTGGTTGTTTTTTTTTGTTTGTATTGCAATTTTGTACAACGTAGTTTTTTTTTCGGATTTTTCAATCGTTTTTGGATTGTTTTAATATTTTTTAGATATAAAAATTCTTAAGAAATCAGAAGACAGTTCAACACACTTCAAAATGCCCTAATAAGCTAGGCTACCAGCCGGGCCGCCCGGGTCCCGGGTGGCCAGCCCGTGCAAGGACCAGGGAAGGTCCCAGCAAAAAACAAAAAAACAAAAAAAATCCAAAAAATCCGAAACAAAACTATGTTATGCAAAAAAATAAACTGAACAACTTTTGCCTCAGGGTCACATCGAAATTCTTCACCAAATTTAAAATAAAAAATAAAATTTAAAAATATTGTTTTATTTTTATTTTTTTTGGCCCGGCCGGGCAAGTGACCCCGGGCCACTCTGGTAGCCTAGCTAATAAGTTAATAACTTCGTAAGAAGATATTTTTATTCTTGTTTTTATTTTCTTGAATTTCTTCTCAAATCCGGTTGTGAATTTCGACATGGCCCTCAAGTAAAAGTTGTTTGTATTGCAATGTTGTACTACTTTTTTTTTTTTTTTTTCTGAATTCTCTGATTTTTTTGAAAAATTGAACGTCCTTTATACTTGACACGTTCAGCGATTTTGGGGAACCCGTTTTTCCAAGGTGAGTTGAATAGAACGTGCATACGTTTTTTTGGGGGGGTTAAGAAAGTGGCTACCATAGGGTAGCGCAGATGGAGGTGCTGAGCCCATGCACTGTTTACACGGTGTCAGGGTTAGTTCGTCAAGAATCAACAACCCTGGTCAGTGGCCTCCTCCTTTTGTTGTTCTTCTTCTGCCGCCGCCTCCTTTTTCTCCCTCCTCTGTCCCCCCTTCTTTGTCTTCTTCTTCATCTTCTCCTTCTCCGTCGGCTTCTTTTTCTCCCCTCCTCATGTGACCAGCGCTGCTGCAACCTCCTCCGCGATCATCTCAGCCACAGAGAGAGAGAGAGAGAGAGAGAGAGAGAGAGAGAGAGAGAGAGAGAGAGAGAGAGAGAGAGAGAGAAGCGTTCAAATTCGCGTTTGAGCGCGGGGAATTCACGTTCAATTTTTTTTTATTTTTTTTAATTATTTAAGAGCCCATCTCTCTCTCTCTATGGCTCTCTCTCTCTCTCTATGGTGCTCTCTCTCTCTCTCTCTCTCTCTCTCTCTCTCTCTCTCTCTCTCTCTCTCTCTCTCTCTCTCTTCGTGTTTGAGCACGGGGAATTCACGTTCAATTTTTTTTTATTTTTTTTAATTATTTAAGAGCCCATCTCTCTNTTTCAGCAGAGTGCGTCCGAATGCTGTAGGCTGCAGTGTCTGTGTTTTTTTTTTGTTTTTTTTTATAAAGGAACTGCGGAATTGAACTCCGCGTTTGGTTGCGTTCATTCCGTTCAAAAATTGAACGGAAAACCCGTGTTCAATGAACGCGCGGTTTCATAGCTTTTTAGCCCTTATATTGAACCAAATATTCATACAAATACAGCAGCATTTGTGTTCCTGGCTCTTGGATTGTGTGAACTATTGAACCAACCCCACTCGACAGCATCAAGTGGCAGCCACCACATTTCTCTCTCTTTGAAATAAGTTCTTCTCTCTTTTACCACCACAACTCTCACGATCATGATACATTTTTTACTGTGAGTCACCATAACCTTAACTAAGTTTAACTTCCTGCAGATAAGCCGGGGGCCCTCCTGTTGTGTCCGGTCAGGGCAAGGCCTGTTCTGACAACGAATGTGACCTTCTGGACTTTGTTCTCAACAGGTGGATTGGATCAGCAAGGCATCTGCAGATCAGAGGGCGGGAAGGGCAGGAAGAACTGGACCTGGACACTGCTACAGGCTGTATTCGTCTGCAGTATTCAACAATCAATTCGAGCAGCATCGTCTTGCGGAGATTCATCGTTCACCGATTGAAGGCATTGTGCTTCAGATGAAGGCTATGGGTATAGACAAGGTGTGTGGCACAGCTTTTTTGTGTGTTTCCTTTTTGCATGTACCCTGTCTATACCAATAGCTCTTGTATTTGGCCCTTTTTGTTTGCTTGTCTGGCTGTCTTTGTTTGTTTGTTTGTTTGTCTGTCTGTTCACCCATTTTGCTCATTCATTCATTTATGTATCCTCTCGTCTTTCATTCATTCGTTTGTTTGTTCGTTCATTTTTCCGTTCCTTTGTTGATTCATTTGTTTGTTCGTGTGTTCTTTTGCGCATTCATTCGTTCCTTTGTGTTTGCTTGGAGTCTGTGTGTGGATCAGAACCTTAAGTACCTTTCTGCAGCATAACCCCTGTCTCTTATACACATCTAGATGTGTATAAGAGACAGCCTCCAGAGTGCTGCTGCCGAATCCTGAAGACTA